TAAAAAAATAAATATATTATATAAGTGATGATAAATAAATACCATGTTTATTCTTCATATGTCTCGTAAGAGCATCGCGTCGGGTAAATGTTTTTGGACATATACTTACAAGTACCACGTATACCGCTATGCATTATAACGTGTCTTGAATAGATGATATTAACTCGAAAAAGATTTTACACACGCTTCACAATTTAATATATTTGAAATGTTTAAAATATCACAACAAAAATTAAACGTATCGATGATAATAAAATATAACTGTGATAATACAAAGAAACTGAGGTCTAGTATGTGACCAGTAGGTGACTATAGAACACAATGAATGCATTTCGATTTCAAATGTGGTAAGAGCTCATAATTTTATCCGATTATGCTAATTCTCGGAAAAATGTGTATAACAAGCCAATGGGGTGGTAAACCATTTTTCCCTAATAATATAATAATTTATAAACAATAATTCCGATTTTTCTGATGATTTGGTATGCATTGATTTCATTCTCGAGTATGTCTCGACCAGCATTATACTTGCGGCATTAGAAGCATTACACGTGCAGTCGATAACATTCCTGGAAATGGCCATGTTACAATTCATTGGCGCTCTATGTAGTCTTTAATAAATTGTTATATTGTCGTAATAATCTTTCCGTATTAATATATTTTAAATAATTTGTAGTCTTAAAATTTTACTTCGATAAAATAATTAGATTGTGGTAAAAGGGGAGGTGTTAATGAATTTATCATTTAAATAAATAATAAGGGGAAGTATAATATTAGGTAAGATGGAAGATAAGATTTAAAAATTTTCCAGTAAAAAAATATGGAGGGGGTATAATATACATAGGCTACATGAAAGATCGGGCAGCATGAAGAAAAATGAAAATGGAAAAAATATGGATGGGGTATATTATACATAGGTTACGTAAACGATTGGGCGGCGTAAAAAAAAATAACGGTGGCTGCAGCGGCGGAAAGTGAGGTGGTTGTGGCTGTGGTTGTGAGCGTGGGGTGTGGGTATGTGTGTGGGTGGCCCAGAAGCTCCAATTTCTATCTACTAGTAACGTGAACTATATTATGCGATAAAGCGCATTTATAAAATAATACTCTCTGATTTTGGTTTTCTTTACGTTTTTTTTCTTTCACGTATTCCAGTTAAAGAATAAGTTTTACGCTTACTATTAGTGTTAGCATTTATTTCTTTAGGTAGATTTTGAATATTTATATTATTACTAAAAACTAAAACACCATAATGTCCTGCGTCACCATGGCCAGAAAAAAAATTAATTACACATTATAGCACCAAAACCATTATCTACAAATGCACTAAGATCAGTAGATCTATACACACGAAATGTATGACTTGGATAAAGTCGACTAATGCATTCAAGTACGACGTGACCAGCATACTTACCACCTATGCTCATCAAATGTTCGTAATCATTATAATTATAAATATGTAATCTATACGAAAGATCACCTATGAAAAAATTCTTTAAACACATCCCAATTATTTATCACTAAGTTAGGTTTCGATGTTCTTCTTGCGTGCCGAATATTAAATATGACATGGAACGAAATAAACAATTTTTATTGCCTACTATGGGAATTAATTGATATTCCATTTTAAACAAAAGCGAAACAATGTATATAATAAAATTTGTAATTTATTTTGTGCTCTACACAAAAAGACAATGCATAAATCTAAAATAGTATTTTTCATGTGATTTTTTCGAAGACGGTACAGACGACGACACAACGACGATAACGAAACAGTGCACTATGCCACAATGTAAAATATAATAAATGTACAATGCCGTTGACGACGACAAATCTACAGACCTGTAGTACTGCAACAGACGTAGGAAAAGTAAAAATACCGGCCATAGAAAAAAATAGTGGTAGTGAATTAACGGAAAAGGTCTAAACAAAGTGTATGGTTAGCCTATTCAAACTTACCAAAACTTCATATTAAATTGAACATGACATATGAACTATTAGATGCGATGGCTCTGAACTAACCATCACGTTCACTTAGAAATTCAGTTATCCTAAATAGATATATTAATAGATATATTAATTAGATATATTACTAATAAATAATAATAATAATAATAATAATAACTACGACCAAAACATCTATTTTAAACGATATTCAGTTTTTTACATCCTCTTTGACGATATTTGTAGCACGCATTCTGTTAATTCTATGTCAAACGTAAAAAGGCTACATTAAAAAATGTATATTGTTAGATTAGAAAAAGTTTTATATGGTGGTTAAATATTCTTAAATTTTCTAATTTTCCACCCAGTTTTATTAATTTTTTCTTTCACAAAGTAGTACTGCAGTAGACGTAGTAGTGTGGGGTTACACCAGCGTCGTCAACGAATGCCGCTATGTAATAATACGGTAAACATAATTCGTTTAATAACTATTTAAGTAATCCATTTTTTGAACTTTTCTCTTTTGATGGCTCATCTGCACACCGATTACTTGCGTTAGAAAAAAAATCATTAAAATTAATGCAGTAGAACTTAAGATATAACTGTCATAAGAAATTGCCTCACGTTTTAATAATATATAAAGATAAAGATAAAGATAATATAATAGCTACGATTGACTACAAAAGTTTAAATTATTAATAATTGCAGATATTTGAGAAAAATATACGAGATACAATCTATTTTCGGCTCTATCTCTGTTACTCATACAGCTAAGTTGTGAGAATAAAATTAATACTTCCAATAGGTATAAAATTATCTATTTAAAAATAATTTGGTGGTGACATTGAACACTATTGCTATCAAAAGTGCTTGTTTGTCGTCCATATATAAAATCCAATTCGTTTTGTTGGTGCTCTGTGCTCTCTATCTTGCGATTCATGATCGTTAAGTATTTCTTCTTTTTCTATTTCTTCTTTTTTTCTTCTTTTTTTCTTCTTTTTTTTCTTCTTCTTCCATTTTCAATCCTATAATTATTATGATTTTTTATTATTTATTTTTTATTTATTATTGATATTTTTTTACCGTAATCCGGCAATGACGGGCAATTCGGCTAGTTATTATAAGGCGCTGCAAGATACAATAAAAGTCTATTACTGGGAATGAGATTCAATAGTTGTACGCAAACGAGTTGTCATTTTTCAAATCAACGTTGTACACGAACGAGTTACACCCATTAGTGCTGCGTGGGCACGAGGTCCACCCGGGGCCTAAAAGGTTTATGAGAGCGCCATATTCTGAATTTGGCTTACTAAATCTTTGTATTCGAAAGAGATAGGATGCGAAAAAAAACCACTATGGCCGATCACTTATACGCGCGTTAACGAAATTCGATTGTCGCAAACGGTTATGATTTCGCTTCCGGACCGCAACCTATACAACCAGTAGTATATCTCCATACTGTTATTCGACGCGCTCAATAGCGATGTGCACTACAGAAAAACGCTCACCTTCTGATTTCTCTTGCCAAGTATCGAGTACGCTGGATTCTTCTCGATCGTTGGGTCGGTCGCGAATTTTCCGATCGTGGGCTTGACGTAATACTCCGCTGGTCCTGGGCTCCTGGAACCCACCCTCACGTATTTAAGCATTTTCTTGTCCATTATTGTGTTAGCAAATTTCTTGTTCTATAAATAAAAGTGTTATAAATTTTGATGGTTTTATAGGATTTTGTTTTGTATGTATTACTATGACACATTAAAACTTTGAATTGGTAAAAAGTAAACATAAAAATTGTATTATGAACTCTTTTAAGGTATTACTAAAATAATCCAAAATAAGAGTATGCACCACTTGATAGTTTGCAGTACATAAGAGAATAAAAAGAAACTGGTGTGCAAGGGCCATAGTTAGAAATTATAAATTGGCTCGTTTTAACTCACCTTGTTGGAACATCGTGTGGCTGCCATATTGTCATGTTAACATTATTCTCAAAATAATATACTGTTTGTAGAGAGCCGAACGTACATGTACACGAGTCAAGATAAAAACAGGTTGGTCTGAAAACTTAAGTAAACGCTCCGAAGCAAGACTTTGTCAATCGATAAAATATCCGCTTTCATTGCATTCATAAGTTCATCCAAAGTGTAAAGTTTTGAATGATAAACATATGACTTAAAGTATAACCGAAAAGAAAAAGTTGCACACTGTAAAGTCCGATGACCTTTACTAGTTTTAAAAAAAGAACGCATCGGGCTCCCGGACATTTTATGATCAATGTTCAACCTTCGATTGCTATCGCCGTTTTCTTGGTCGTCGCGATCATTAATATTAATATGAATTATTAATATTACCACGCGTAGTATCGGCAACAGTGATCTGTAGATCGAAACGGATGTGCAGATTGGAAGGAGAATTTCTTGTTCAAATATGTGCATGCGTTTCCATCCGTATATTAGCATTCTGAGGTAGGTCTCAACACCGGTTATCATTTTAGCTTTCTGATCGGTCGTTTGGTTTTGCCACGCTTTTTAAAAGCTATTACCAATAACCTTGTTATCTAGTATTATTACTATTGCTATTTATTATTTATGATACTATTATAAAGTATGAATATAAATAATCTTTAAAAGGGTAAAAATAAAAACCCTTTTAAAGATTATTTATATTCACATTTTATAAAAAAAAAGTAGTAAATATGCATTGCAATGTTAAATAACACATAATACCAGATAACAATTTTTAAAAAGCGTGGCAAAATCAAACGACCAATCAGAAAGCTAAAATGATAACTGGTGCCGAGACCGACCCCAGAATGCTAATATGCTTCCCGTCCACAGATCATGGCTGTAGACATCACGAGTTGTTAATAATAATATATTATGTAATATATATTATATATATTATATTAATTATATATTATTATTATTATTATTATTATAATAAAAATAATAATTATCATGATGATCGAGAAAACGACAATAGCTGTCGAAGATTGATAGCCAATCATACGACATATGGGTGTCCGATATTTGTCCTGGTGATCATTTGTATGCGCTCGCGCGAATCGTCGTTATTCATATTACGACTCTTTTCTTTAGGAAACCTTAAGTCACATGCAAAATCTCGAGTAATGGATGATAATACAGGTTATAATAATAGTGGCGATTGAATTGATAAAGACTTGGTCCAGCGTGGTCACTCAAATATTTTGAACAAACATGCTTCGTACTACGAACAAGATGGACGCACGCTCGTTGTTCTTTTCGATCTTTGAAACGATGTCCCTATTTTCGTGATCCGAAGCCTGTACAACAAATCATAGTAAAACATGAATGAACGTTTAATAATATATATATATATTAATTAATCCCGAACAAAATCAAATATCTTTATGACATGTTCATTCCGTACACCCACGCCATGGACTACGAAACACCCACATCGTCGAATGCTTTAAAACAACAACGACGAGCTTGGTCTCGAGATGAATTATTCTAGTCCGTTAGGACACAGTAGTATCTATTCTTCGGTCGACAAAAAAGTAACGGGCACGCAATATAGGCGCGCACACTCAGTATAAAATTTGGAAGTGCTAAAATTATCCACCCCAAGGTGATCCGTGGGGAGCAAAGCCCCCAATAAACCCTCTACAAGAGTTGTTTTCAGCCTTTTTCATCTTTTGCTCCCTGGTAAATTACAAAAATCTCATCCCCCTCTTCAATTAGAGTTTAAGCGATTTTTAGCTGTGCGAATCGAAGTTTGTACTATCAATTTTAGATAAAACACGAAAAGATCTATCTAGTATCATTATAAAATATAATTGTTATCGATACGGAATAATTTGAAAATATATAGTGATTTCAATTTAACACATTATAAATGTAAAGTAACATAATTATTTTCGTTATTTTATCATCACTATATTCCTCCCGAGCCAACTCTTAATTTTTCCCTGGGTGGGGGAGATTCCCCTCTCGGTTGGGAACTATTGCCCTCATATTACTCGACACAAAATTATTTAGTTTTACCGTTTAATTATAAACGTAACTATTTTCTTTATTATAACTAAAGATTATTAATAAACATTACTATTATTTATCAAACCCGTAGACGGTAAACCAAACCAAAATCTGAAATGGTGTTCCAGCAATAAGCTCGACCGTCATCGCAGTATCACATGCATAGGTAAAACAAATGCCTAATACTCTTACTTATATAATCGCTTTGCTGTAATGTGCGAACAAAGGCAAATTAAAAAAAAATTAAAAAAAAAAAATATTCTTACTGCACACGTGTAACATTTGTATGCACGTTGTACATGCGTGGCATTTAGTGGGCATTACTAATATAAACGTATTTTTATAAACGGCAAATAATCGTCTTCAAACAAAATTTTTACCTCAAAACAAACTGGGGGTACTAACTCATAACTCGGGGGGCACTAATAAGCACCGATGAATCGGAAGTAATAATATAGTACGTTTGGTCCGGAACTCACCGCGATCTCCGTTATTTGCAACAGTCGCTGTCGTACTCGTTGTCCGCCGGCACGGCGAATGGGGGCACGATGTCCGGCCTCTTCGCGCCGAACGTGGTGCGACACTTGTCCATGGATGGCTGAATGGTGCAGCACTTGGGCTTGGATCCGTCGTAGGCGGCCGGCCCGGGCATTTCGGGCACCCGAGAGCGCTTCGGCCGTCCGGCCATGGTGCGGCCACCGCCATACCGGCCGGACAGGTACCGGTCGCCGTGCGGCAGGTCGTAGGCGCCGGGCCCAGGCGTTACGAACGCCTTGAGCGGCGGGAACCGTTTGCCCAGCGGCGCAGCCTGCTTGTTCAGCGCGTCCGGCAGGATGTACGCGTTGGGCCCCGGCACCATGGACCTAGGCTTCAGCTGCAAGCCCGACGGCCGCACCATCTTGATCGCCCCATGGTCCTGATGGCTTTGCACGCAGTAGTCTGCCGGTCCCGGTGTCTGGGCCGGAGCCTTGTCGTCCAGCCGCTTGCTCAAAAGTCCTCCCAGTACCCGGTGCTTGCCATAATGGTTCAACGTGGACACGTCGTACCCAGGGCCCGGCCCGATCGATTCGATCTGTAAAAAAAAAACGGTCCGTGTCGTTCACTAAGCTACAGCTTTCCCTTTACTCACCCAGTGGTGTAGCAAGAGTATAGCGAACTTTGTCTACGCTGGGGGCGCGAATTGCAAAAGAGCGCAAAATTGTGTGCAAAAGTCGTATTTTTTTTTTTTTTCTACAATCAAATCGAAATTTTTCCATTATACTTTTTGAAATACGTAAATATATCTATAATAAATTGACTATTTGTACGCACTACATGTGAATTTAATGATGAGATTATGAAAATAGCACAAGGGCATTTAAATAAAAGATTTCATATGAAAAAATTATTGATGAATTTGCTAGTGATAAAGGGAGAAAAGCAAATTTTCAAAGTTTAAAATTAACACTGTAATAATAACTTCTAAATATAAAATGTGTACTTAAAAAAATTAGTAAAATTAAAGGTTATAAAAAATATAGTAAAATCAAATTTTAATTGGTTAAATAGAGTTTTTTTCTAAGTTTGCCAGGGGCGTTAGCGAGTCATCCATACGTCACTGCACCTGCCTCCCCCTCCTAATGGTTCGTGTTTATATGTATGTACCGAACCGGTGCGTTACCGTTCGGCGTTTAAACATCTTAAAATTTTGACATAATGTCGACGAATAACGGTTCGTCATCGGCAAACGCATAACCGTATTACTACGTACCATATTTTCGACGGAAAGTTGTGCCCACTCTCATTTAACACTTACGTTTTATAATCGAAATTTACACCATTATTTACACCATGTAATGGCGATGTTACCGCAGCTGTTTTAAAGTTTTGGAAATGCATTGAGTGTGTCGAATGAATTCTAGAAGTTTATCTTAACATAACCTGTCCAAAAATGAGGGAACACTCGTTTGCGCACAATAATCTTAAATTTAAATAATAAAGATACAACTCATTTTAGATAAATCTTATTATTATAAGGCGCTGCAAGATACAATAAAAGTCTATTACTGGGAATGAGATTCAATAGTTGTACGCAAACGAGTCGTCATTTTTCAGATCAACATTGTACACCAATGAGTTACACCAATTGGTGCTGTATGAGCACGAGGTCCGGCCGGGGCTTAAAAAGTTTAAGGAGCGCCATATTCTGAGTTTGGCTTACTAAATCTTTGTATTCGAAAGAGATAGGATGCGAAAAAAAACCACTATGGCCGATCACTTATACGCGCGTTAACGAAATTCGATTGTCGCAAACGGTTATGATTTCGCTTCCGGACCGCAACCTATACAACCAGTAGTATATCTCCATACCGTTATACGACGTGCTCAATAGCGATGTGCACTACAGAAAAACGCTCACCTTCTGATTTCTCTTGCCGAGTATCGAGTACGCTGGATTCTTCTCGATCGTTGGGTCGGTCGCGAATTTTCCGATCGTGGGCTTGACGGAATACTCCGCTGGTCCTGGGCTCCTGGAACCCACGCTTGCGTATTCGAGCATTTTCTTGTCCATTATTGTGTTAGCGAATTTCTTGTTGTATAAATAAAAGCGTGTTATAAATTTTGATGGTTTATAGGATTTTGTTTTGTGCTCGTGTTTTTCTAAGACTGTTTTTCGTTGTGTTCCGTCGCTTGTTGGTCTTACGCGTTGTCGTTGTTGACGACAAATGTTTGTTTATACTTATTTATTTTTAATTTATGCCAATAGAATAAAGTTGGAAACCATTCATCGTCATACGATACTTAACTATGAACAAATATTATGTATTATTCAAAGTTATGTATTTTTGTAATACGAGTTTAAATGAATTACACTTGCAATCATATTTATTATGTCTATATGTATTCTGAATTCTGAAACAATCTATATAGCCGGACCAACAGAGTTTAGAAGGGAAGAAATAAAAAATTCATTATACGACATTTGACGTTTGTACACCAGAGTCGACGATCGAGTGGACTAGTGCGTGTGCGCACGGACGGCGCCCGATGAAGAACCCGACCGTAAAGATAGTTATTAAATTGTCATCTGGCTAAAATCTAGGAGGGTGGACTGTATCGATTTGATTTCGAAATGAGGTGGACGAAGGTTAAGTAACCGACTAGATCAATAAATTTAACAATTGTATTTGAAATGAAAGAAAGGCACGATATATATATATTTGTTGCTCCTGCATGAAATGATCTTATGATTAGATTAGTGACTAATTGACCACACACGATCGCCAGAGCCGCATTTAGTGGGGGACAAGGGAGAATGAATGGCCCTGAGGCGGCAAATTTTTAAGGATCAACATAAAATAGAAAATATATAATTATAACTTTTTTGTGTGACTGTATGTTATTGCTTTCAATATTAAACATAACATAGAAGATATATCCACCAGTTTGCAACCATAAAATCAAGGAAAAAATTATTATGAAAGTAGTATAAAAAGTAATGAATGATTATATTTTGTCAGATTTGGTAATTTTTTAAATTTTTATGCAAGGTATAATTAATAATTATAAAATTTAAATATAAGTAATAATGTGCTATATAAAATATACATAATATAGATATTAGTCATTTGTATATTTATTACAATACACTTCTGTTCTATCCGTTAATACGCTAAATATTCTACCCACTGTAATTAATAGTGTGGTGTGTATAATTTTGAATTGTAATTTTCTTAAGGGCAGCATATTTTAATTTGCCCCGGGGCGGCTACATAGTTTAACGCAGCACTGACGATCGCCCGTAATAATACTAACTAATAATAATAATACTAGTAATAACAACAAATAATAAATTGATAACGGATGTATGATCTAGTATCAATAAAGAACTGACATTGGGTAACGATATGGTCGGTGGCCAACCGGTCACGACAGAGAGTTCAAATGCCCAATTCCTTGGTGCGTACGTGGACGGCTCCGCTTGCATAAGTGAATGAAGTTCGGCAGACCGTCAACTCGGCGGCACCTAGCAATGACTTCACGAAGACGTATACTGGAATTATGGGAATTCTTGACCGTTCGGCGAATAAATAAACGTTGGTGGAACGACGACAAACGAAAAAACTGAACGGTTGCGACGAGAACGTGACGCGTAAAATATTTTCGGACGTCTCTCAACCACGAAAACGGAGTGATAAAACGATCAGACCACATGGCACGAGGGATTACGGGTGGTGAATATATAATAAAAACACCGACGACGGGGTGACCGTACAAGTGTGCAGGACGTTCACAATTGTCAGTGTTAACGGTGGTGACGCACCGGGTACGTACCAGTGGCGAGCCCAGGGGGATGGACCCCGGGTCTGGATCCCCTCCTTGGCTCATGTTGTAGTATTTATTTTTATTTTATATTTTTTAAAATTACTCAGACGTTTTCATCAAAACTTATTGATTAGAATTATTATTTGAATTGGTATACTGTTGGAAATACAACGAATCTGATAAATACGAGTAGATAAAATCAACGATTGTCAATAACCTACTATATCATATTAGTTGCATAATAGTCGAGCAATGAAATATATTTATAATGTATATACTTAGGAATAGAACAGAAAGACAGTAGATAAATTAGATAAATACATTTTTTTTCCTGGACCACCCCCCCATTGAATAAATCCTGGTTGCATATCTGGTATATACAATGGTGGACATACCATTCTTTGCCTAGACGACCGCGTAGAAAAAGGAACAGAATTGCACGACGGTAACGATAACCGACGACAGGCTGGCGGAATAGCGATCATCAACAGCATCGATAACCGATCGCCACTCGAGCGATGGATCGTGTTATCAGACATATCGGCGAGACGCCACGCTCTTCACGCGACATTTGTACCCAATTTTCATTATGTTAAAATTTAACATTTAATGTAGATACGGAATTTTATACATTCAAATTGTAATAATTTACTAATTCTTATTTGAGTATTCAGTTATAAAGAATTTATCAGGTTTCTTCAACAGAAATTAAATTTATTTTCGACCATATGGAAACTTCTATGACTGAAAATACCAGTCCGAAAAGGGGGAATAATAATGGTAGCTGTAAGGCGCTTTATTCATATCGTCTCATAGTAAGTAGTCTCATGTAGTAATTATTTCTATGTGAATCAAAAGAACTTATAAATATAATGAATATTAAAATTGGAAAAATGTAATAAGTGAAATGGGTACATGTATATATATATATATTATATTATCTGCGTTTATTATTACAAAAATCGATTTGAAATGTTTTAAATACTACATTCACTATGCAGAATCGTCTTTCGAGTCAATAGAAAATTAATTAAACTGAAACAACTCAAGAAAAACGGCACCTTTTACCTTGTGTACGGTCGCCTATTACGAATGTGCCCAAGATCGATTTGTGATTGCTGTACGTATATGCCAGCTATTCTTACTGGTCGAAAATATTTTGTGAGAAGAAACATAAATAATATATTGTATTTTTAATTTGTATTATTTACACACATGATTTTAATATAATATAATATACACATTTAATGATTTATTGTATGATAAGCTAAATTTAAAAATGCTAAATGCTAATTCAACACATAATGCATTTATATAAAATAAAATAATTGTTCAGAATATTATATTTTCAGATTTGAATACGTGTTTGGTTGATTTGAACAAAATATCAATAACATAATAAAAAAATGGTTCGTCTTATACGTAACTGTATAGATTATAATTACATTTTTCATAACTTTTAAACTGTACAACTATACATTTTTAATAATATTAGAAAAATTATAAATTTGCATTTATAAACGGTGTAAATAATATAACGCAAAACCAAATTAATAATGAATAATAACTTTTTTTCGTTGAATTCTAATATTTACTTGGTATAATAACTTTTCACAGTAACTTTCTTACATTTTAATTTGGTTTAATAATATCAAAAAAAAAAAATAAATAAATAACTAAATAATTACCAGTAAGATCTATGGCTACTTCGCTATTTTTTTTTCTTAGCTTCACGCCATTACTGTCGCGCTGGATTAAGGGGTTTATTAACTAATCATTTATTCAATATTTGGCGATAAATCTGATATTGATAATAATATCAAATCTAAAATATGGGGTGCAGTTAATGAACTGTAATATTTATTTTTTACGTATATAGATTATAGAAGAAAAAGCTTTTTTGTAGATAAATGTTGAGCCAAATGTGTTTGAAATTTGCCAGGAAAAGTCACACGGTATATGGAAATCTTGGTACTAATTTTTAAAATTATATTAAATTTTCTGAAGTATATAATTGTGGACAAATGTGAATAATACATTTGGCGAGATTAAATCGATCTAATCTCACCGGTCCCATATACGAAGACCACGTCTATTAGAATGAAAATAATACCGACAAGCTCGCGACAAATATATAAATATATATTATATATAACAAAATACATAACGAAATTTAAAGAAATAATATTAATAATTAAATATAAAATGGAATGTTGGCGGGAAAATTAAAATTCGTTGGGCTTGTGACAGCTTTGCTTTGTAGTGACACTTGTCGTGAAATTTAAAACCATTAATTAATTTTTATTTGTTATTTATTTATGTAGTTTTTTTAACAATGATCACCAACCTTACTAGCTTCATTTTTAAATGATATCTGAGGTTTTTGGTTTTGGTTTGAATTTTTTATTATGAGGAGTTTGTTACGGATTATGAGTTCGTTTGTAGAAACATGTAACTTTTTTGTTACAGCGATAATTATTACTTATGTACCTACGTAATATACATGATTTGTATTGAATATTAATATATTATATTGATTTGTATTGAATATCGATATTTAACGTATGTATAGGATTTTTTCAACAAAAATATTCTGAAACCATTCGATTTCTTTATTTATGATAATAGTTTTCGGTTATATTATTATTACATATTTATACCGTATTCGTAAATCAAAAGTTTGTTTGCTGGACATCGTCCTTCGTTCAATTCGCTTTCCGTTTTTGGATTTGTTTGAGTTTGTATATTTTCCTAAAATTTATATCTCGCTTTGGCTTCAATATAATACATAATAATTATAGGTTTGTCCTTACGGTGCAATCAGCGTTGAAGACAAATTCCCTTCTATGTTGTACGGTATAAGAAGTATACAAAAAGTTAACTGCGGATTGACTTATGTTTTGTATGATAAGTTACGTTAATATATTTACTTAACAAAATGGCAGAAAGTGATAAGTCAGGAGAAGAAAAAGAAAAAATCGGAAAGACAGTTTTGGTGAAGTCGTTGAATTATCCAATTTCGTTTAAATTTAACTTTAAAATGTTTATGAAACATTGTTGTGACTTTTCAGTAACATTTTTATTTTGAGCTAAAAAAAAATCTTATGAAAAATATTTTATATTATTTCCTGTTTTAAGCCTTAAGTGTAAATATTAAACATTTTACTAATTTTTGACTATAAAAGTGTAACGAATTTTCGAGTTTCTTTGTTTTGTCTAAATTTAATAATTAAATGCTTGTACATT